AGAGAGAGAGAGAGAGAGAGAGAGAGAGAGAGAGAGAGAGAGAGAGAGAGAGAGAGAGAGAGAGCAACTATGTGTGGGATGCAGTCTCTTCTTCCAACTATTCGTATAATTTTGATTCCTGCTTTGGCCGATCTTGTTGCGGCCTTCTCGGACTTTCGTTGTAAATCGGTTCGGATTTTCTTTGTTGTCTTTGCTTCATGTGTATGCATGCCAGTGGAATGGATGTGAACCCCTTTCTTTTACGATCTTTTTGGATTTCTCTCTCTTCTTGTTTTGTGATGCATTCTTAGTTATTTCGTCACTTTCTAGTATCTATCTGTGTCGAGCAATAGTCCCGGGTCTGATCGAAAATACTTGTTGTGGACGTTTGGATTTAACCATCAGATCACCGAGAATGATGTGATTTCCCCCACCTCCTTCTCTTTCCCTTCATCACATGAATGATACGGATGTGAATGTAATGATTGAATCTTACCCGAGATAGTAGGGGTAGGATAGTTGCATGCGGGTAGGATACCATCGACACACGGACACGAGAAACCTGAATCTGATCCACTTTCGTTCATGTGTACGCTTACATATGACCGCAGTCTCGAGAAAACCGAGTCGCAGCATACGCGCGCGTCTGCATGAGTCGACCTCGAACCCATTATGAGGATGCGGGAGACCGAGTTCACTAATCGGATATGGCTGTAAAACCCCCCTCTCATATCACCGATCGTGAGAGCCTGAGGGATCCGGAGTATCACATATTGGGAAGGTGAACATCTCCGACGTCGGAGAAACTTGAGAAACCCAGAATCCCTGTTTGACGGAGAACGATCTACTGTGCGCGGGAGACTTTCACTGGGCCATAACTAACGTTCCCAGGGGCCCGGACTATCCGGAGACTAACAACACTCAATATTACATATCTCCGGGCTTCGTCGTTATTCGTACCAATTTCCCTCCCTTCCACCTCCTCCTTCCATATCACCAGCTCACAGTGGTACAGTGGAATTCCATAGCCGGTTATTGGTTCCACACATCGTGCAAAAGGTGCCCGCGGCACCAGGCGTATCGAGCTTCGAAAATTACCCGGCAAACCCGAACCGGCGCTGAGCGGCGCTGACACGACAGCCACCACGACCCACTGGTTCGCCAGATGGGGAACCGACCACAGTGACGCAATTGGCAGAGACGATAATCCCAGACACGATCTTCGCGTACCATCTTGCACCGTTGTCCCTAAACTTGCCACTGGAGATCTCAGTTCCGACCTGGGACTCCAACCCCACTTTCCTAAAATCCTTGGCACACCCCCTTTGTCGCACTTTCGGGCCCCCATCCCACTCCGATCAGGAAGGCGCGCTGGGCGTGAGGTTGGGCGTCACAACGTGTTTTTGTATTGACCATTTAGTTAGGGTTGTCCAGAACTTCAGTAACTTTTCGTCTGATACTCTGGTTAACTGATGGGCTTCTGCTCACTCTACCGGCAGAGTGACTGCCTTCTTCTTCAGGCGCGATTGTTGAAGTTGGACTTTCACTTTCGGACGGTAGCGAATCAGAGGAACAAACTTCTCCTGTCG